TTGCATTTCCCTGATAATAAGTGAGGAAGAAAACATTTTTCATGTGCCTGCTTACCCTCTATCTTCCTTGGAAAAGTCCCTCCCCATTTTCTTATTAGGATGTGTGTGTGTGTGTGTGTGTGTGTGTGTTGTTGAGTTGGATGAGTTTTTTTGTAGATCTTCAGTTGAAACAATCTAAATGTGCCAAAGCCAGACGAATGTATCAAGAGGATGTGGTATATATACACAATGGAAAAAAGATAAACTCATGTTATTTACAGCAATGTGAATGGAGCAAGAAGGGCTAATGCTCAGTGAAATAATCAGAAGGAGAAAGATAAATATCTGATGGTGTCGCTTATATGTGGAATATAGAGAAAGGAAGCTAAGGTTCAGAAAAAGTTAATTACAAAACTAACCCTTAAAGCTGACTATAGAACTGAAACATCCAGAGAGGAGTGGTGGGAATGGAGGGGTGGGGACTAAGAGGGAAGGCAGCACAATGGGCGATGGTGACAGGCTGTGTGATTTGATGGCAGGTTCACTAAAGTGGGTCTCCCTGAAGGGGACAGGAGAGGGATCATACAGTTCCAAAATACTAACAATAATGTCAGCTGACATTACCTCAATTAAAAATGAAAACAAAAACCTGAGAGCAGATGACCAAGAAAAACAGTAAAATCATGTTTTTTTAAGGAAACATATAAGCAAATATTATGTTCACTTAGAGATAGGCAAATATTTCTTACTTAGGTTCACAGAAAATATTCACAGAAGATGATAAATTAGGCTTCATCAAAATTATGTTTTTCTATCAAAAGACAACATAAAAAATGAATAAGCAAAGCAGAATGAAGTAAATATTTGTACTATATATACAAGATAAAAGATTGGCATCCTAGATTACAGAAAGAATTCTAATAACTCAATAATAAAAAGATAAATATCCCAAATAAAGAAAAATGGATCAATGGTTTAAACATTCATTTAATAAAAGAAGAATATAATTGGCTAATGAGCAAAAGAAAAGTACTAAACAACATTGATCATGAAGGGCAATCAAATTACTACATGAGAGACTACAACATGTTAACCAAAATGTTTAAAATTAAATGGAAATGAAATGGGGCAAACCTGGAGGAACCAGAATGACTGGCTGGTGAGTCCTCACCCACATGCTGAAGAAGGATACAAAGAAAGAAAGGAAAAGGATTTATTTAGATAGAAAAGGAAGAACTAAGGGAGGAAAAGAAGAAAGTTTAGGGTGGCACTCAGCCAGATTCAGTCTGTAGTACCTGCAGATGGTATCAGCTGGACAAAGACCAAAATGCCCTTAAAGCCAGCTGAAAGGCAGAGAGAACAAGTACATGTTTTTAAGGTCAATATGGTGGCTCAACAACACTCCCTGATTCTAGTACCCTCCATTCAAGAAGTCAAGGGAGACAGTCTGGAAAACACTAACTTGTTTCACTGAGTTAGCTATAAGCATCATCTACTGGCTCAGAGGTTGTTCTCCACTATTCTGCTAATACTTTCCATGCCCAGAGTGCCCTCATCAGCTTACCAGGCTGGATCCTCGCCATCAGCTCCACCTGCATTTGGAGCAGCAACTAAATGTGATAACTTAAATAAGTTTAAGGATTTTTTGAGAAATTTCTTACTTATACATTTCAGAAACTGATAGGAATGCCAGACTAAAAATTCAATAAAGATGTATATTAAAGAATACAGTAAACACAGTCAAACAAATTGACATTTTTAGAACACCAAAACCAATGATCTCATTATCCTTATTCTTTTCAAGTACAGTTGGAACATTTACCAAAAATCTACCAACTGCAGGGCCATAGCAGTGGTCAAAAGGTTTCAAAGTTCTATCTCATATAATATAGTGAAATTAAATAAGATGATGATATTAAAAGATAACCAGAAAATTTATATTATTTGGAAATTAATTTATATAATTATAAATATTGCATGATTCAAAAAGGAAATCTAATTAGAACTAATAAATTTGAAGTGAAATGAATGATAATGCAACTATGACACATACTTTATGGCATACAACTAAAATGTACTTAGAGGGAAATCTATAGATTTATTTATTGGTATAATTAATCAATTTAAAACCTGAAATCAATAAAGAATGAACAATAGAGGATGAAAAATAGAAGGAAGAAAGCAGCAGAAATTAATAAACTAGAAAACAAATATTTAATACAAAAGAGTACAAAAAACTAGTATATGAAGGTCTCCCCTGGTGGCACAGCAGTTGCGTGCTGGGCTGCGAAGCTGCCCGCAGCCTCTGCAGCGCCGGTTCCATCCCCAGCTGCAGGCAAGGGTTCCACATGGTGCCTGCGCATGGTACCATTATTCTACATGGTACCTCTCCTGCTCCCCTCAGCAGTTCTGTTCCCCGCTCTGGCTCTGGTGAATTCTCTCACCCTCCCGCGCTTCTGAATGTACCCAGTGCTTGTATAAATAAATAAGTATATCTTTAAAAAAAAAAAAAAAAGACTTTTAAAAAAATTAAAAAAAAAATAAAAGGGACATTACTAGATATCACAAGCATTGCAAAGAAAAGAAGACAGTAATAGTTTTTTTTTCTTAACCCATGAATTTTAATATTTAAAAATACACTAACCTCTAAAAAATACAAGAAAAGATAATCAAAAAAAAAGATAGAAAATCTGTATAATTCTATATTTATTTAAGACATTGAAAGAGTAATTTAAACTTTCCTAAAAAAATTCAAGGTCCAGATGGCATCACCAGTGAATTTATCCAAAATTTACAAAAATAGGAAATAGAAAAACAGAGAACACTTCTAATTCATTTTATAAGGCCAACATAACCTTGATACAAATACATAAAAAGGGAACTAGATCGTGACTCAGATATAAAGTTTGTTCAACTTTATATTGATGGAATAAATTTGGTAAGTTGATGAACTTATCACATAAGAATATAAAGAAGAAAAATCATATGATAATCTCTGTAAGTGAATCAATTATAATAACCATTCATGATTTAAATGAAAAATTCTTAGCAAACTAGAAACAGAAAGGAAATTCTGTGATTTTTTTAAAATTCTATCTAAGATTCTGAGAAAATATTAAATGTAGTGGTTAACTATTCAGTTTTTCCCTGAGATGAAGAAGAGAACTGGGGTACTTCCATCACCAATTCTATTCAACAATTTTCTAAACATTTTACATAGTGCATTTTTTAAATGCACTAAGAAATTAATTATATTATTATTTGTTTTAGGAAAGCACCAAGGGGTAAGAAAATATTATCTTCACCAAAAATATTTAATTTGCCAATAAATACCTGAATTGATTCTCAATCTCAAACAAAGGGAAAATTGAAAACAAACCATCACTAGATACAAACACATCTCCATTGGAATAACCAAAATTAAAAAAAAAAAATTACTATTCAAAATGTTGAGGAGGGAGCAACTAGAAATCTTGTGACTGGTTGCTTAGAGTATAAATCATCACAACCACTTTGAAAGTTGAAAATATTTACTATTATAAAATGCACATGGGGTAGCAACTCCATCTACAGATATATACCAAACAGATACCCTAAATATGAATCAAAATATCATATAGAGGAACGTTCTTGACAGAGCTGTTTGTAACAGCTGAAAGTTGGAAAATAATTTACTCTCCATGAAAAAGTAGAATGAATAACTAAATTGTGGAATTCTATAATGAAATACTTGATAACAATGAAAATTAGTAAATTACCACCATACCTAATGATATACATGAATTTCCAAAACATAATGTAGAGTAGAAATGTCAGATACAAAAAGAATACATAATGACTGATTTCCATTTATGTAACTGTTTTAAAAGGGAAGAATTAATTTCTGGTATTAAAAGTAAAAATAATGACTTTGTGGGGAGGAAACGGTACAGAGACTAGGAGAGTTTCAGGGAGATTGTCATGTTCTGTTTCTTGTTCTGGGTAATGCTGGGTATTGCTCAGATATTTTTATAAGAATTCACAAGCTGCAGACATTTAGTTGCATGCTTTTCTGAATATATTGAATACTACAATAAAATTTCCTTAAAAATTAAAATTAAATTCATAAATAATGCACTAATTTTTATACTTTTCTACAACGTTGCCAAGTCATTAAACTGCTTGGAGATAAGTAGATCTATTTTTTTTTTCTTTTAAAAGTTTCTTTTAGTATTTAAGCAAATGTATATTCTTTATACTTTGAAAATAAAAGTTAAATTGGCACTATTGTTGAGGAATCACTTTATTCAATTAGAAATGTAATGAAGTCTTCTCTTTGGTTTCACTTTTCCATCTGGAATTCATATAACTGTCATGGTTTAGCCTTTGTAGCTATTCACTATTGGGAGCAATTCTGTTTCTGCAGCCCACTTAAGTCATTTTTTTTTTTTTTCTTAATTGGAGCTTAGACCTTACCCCGTCCTACCAGATTAACCCTACTGAATATGTTAGAAATCCTTGAGAAAGTTAGGTTGGGAAGTGATGACTTTTGCCCTGGATTTATTTGCCTATCTCTCTTAGATATAATGCAGATAGAACAATGGTGAAAAGAGATTGGTTTTCAGATCTGGGCTAAGTCTACCGTCAAAGACTAAATATATTAGTGTAATGCACTATATTGTAATTAAAGAATATGGCTTGCACAATTATTCTCGATAACTGAAATTCCCGATAATTGTTTATTTATTATTCTCGATAACTGAAATTCCGATAATTGTTTCCGGAATTTCTTTACACTCATAAAGAATAGAGAGGACCCCCAAGGAGCTTGTATTTATGTGTTTTATATCTATCAATATTTACCATATTAGGAACAAAGTAAAATATTTCAAATATATTTAAATTATTTTTAAAATAGCAAGACTATACTCTTTACATCTTAACATATATGATATAGCCTGGTGGAAAATGATTGTTTTTAAGACAAATAATAATTGAAAAAGGTAGCATTGTTTCATAATTTTCAAATCTCTTTAACGTAGAGATTTGCCTTAATAGAAGACAACTGATTTCTCATGTTTGCTTCTGGATTCAATCTATTGAGATTTAAGAAGTCATGAGGCTCTTGGAAAACTTCACTGTATCCACATGAGAGACTGAGAGTGAAAAAGGTAAATAATCTCATATATCACTATTAAAATATGTTTAACCTACAGGGCCACCTGGCTAAAGGTGCTTGGGAATCTCCCAGAACCCCAGATCGTTTGATCAAGGAAATGTGTAAGATTTCTGTTTTGTCTAATATATTTAGTTAATTATTGTAAATGTTTCATGTGTTCAGGTGTTTGTATGAGAGTTTACCTACAATGAAATTAATAAAGTGTAATTAGTTATTTAAACATAATATGAAATATATGAATACTTTCATTATGTTATACCTGTAAATCAAAAGTCAGTAAATGACGACCTTTTTGTATGGCTCTTGAGCTAGTTGTGGGTTTTATATTTTAAAAGAATTATTAAAAGTGCCTCCCAATTATTAAAGTGGTTGAGCACTGGGTTGCGAAGCTGCCCGGAGCCTCTGCAGCACCAGTTTGATCCCCCGCGTTTGGGTGAGGGTCCCACATGGCACGCGGACCTCTCCAGCCACCCACTGCTCCCCTCAGCAGTGTACTCTGCCTGCTCTGCTCCCCGCCCTGGCTCTGGTGAATTCTCTCACCCTCTTGTGGTTCTGACTGTACCCAGTACTTGTATAAATAAATCAATAAATATTTAATAAATAAATAAATAAAATAATTATTAAAACAGGAAGACATACATTCACAGAAGTTATGCAACAGAGACCATGTAAAACCTAAAATATTTATTTCTCTGTATAGAAACAGTTTGCTAATACTTATGTAAACAAAATACCAGTTGTATTACTCATATTTGATATAATCATATATATTTTTCTACTGCTTGGAAAATAAAAAAAAGTATGAAGTTTCCCAGTATGAAAATGAATTTATGACATTTAAATTTTGAGTTTCATATGTTTTGACAAGTAGAATTTATTACACTTTTAATTTATCCTTGAGCTTTATCGGTTCTAATTTTACTGTTACCACTTAACTTTTATATATTCCTCAATTGTTTTCATTGTATCTTCTATAAAATATCTTGTTAGATTGTGAATTCTTAATCTGAGAGTATGGGACTCTAAGTAGGTTAATTTAATTCATTCACATTTGTTGTAGAAGTAATATTTTTTTTTCTCATTTCAGTATCTTATACTCCTATCTAAAAATTTATATTCATTTACAATCTGCCATGCATATTCTTTGATTTTCTTAATCCTCTACTAATTTGCAAGGCATATGGCCCATAGTAATACAATGGGTGGTTATTAATGTCTATGCAATTATTTGAAACAACAATATGACAAATGAAACTATCTATTCAACAAACCCAAATAAATGACAATTAAAAATGGCAATAGTTTCCATTTATTGTGTTGACATCTATGCAAAGCATTTGTGTAAGTCAGTTCATTTAATCCTGACAAAAGCTTTTTGAGTAAGGACCTCTTGTAGATAAATGCTCATGGGATTTATTTTTTTTATTTTTTTAATACCTTTTATTTTATTTTATTATTATTATTTTTAAAGATTTATTTATTTATTTATACAAGCACTGGGTACAGTCAGAAGCACGGGAGGGTGAGAGAATTCACCAGAGCCAGAGCGGGGAGCAGAGCAGGCAGAAGGACCTAAGCACACTGCTGAGGGGAGCAGCGGACGGCAGGAGAGGTCTGCGCGCCATGTGGGACCCTCCTCCGGTGGCCGGGGAGCAGCTAGGGATCCAACTGGCGCTGCAGAGGCTGCGGGCAGCTTTGCAACCCAGTGCTCAACCGCTGCGCCACCGGGGAGGCCCTGCTCATGGGATTTAAATAAAATTGTCCCCAGTCATCCTGTGAGTGAGTGGCAGTGATGGAATTTAAATTGTTTTCTGGTTGAACCCCCACCCCATAATTAACCATAAAGGAGTTCTCCTGAACTGTGCATCCTTTCTCAAAGATTTCATGGGGTAGGCCCTTCCCTTGCTGTAATCCTGTCCACTATAAAAGGTGCTATGGTGGTTTGTGTCTGAGACCCAGTGCTCCCATTAAAAAATTATGGATTGCTTAGGGGTATTGAAAGGTTGAAAAAGGTCCTAGAGAACTTGGGAACAGACTTTTAGGTTTCTGTCTGACTGGGTGTTGGATGTTTGTTTTGAAAGCTCCTAACTCACAATTGTCTTTTGTATTTCAAATTCCAACTACATACCTGTGTGGTCCTGGTCACCTTGTTGATCCATTTTTCCTCTTAGAACTAAGATATTCAATTCTGCAAGACCTGACTATGTCCAAGGTCTTTGTTTTTTTTAGTTAGTTATTTGTTTTATAAGATATGGCTTTCTTGTCTTATTCTTTCAGATCATAACCTTAGCATTTAGATGAACCTTTAAAGAACAACCCCATTATATTCCAACTTCACATGGCACCAAATAGTTTGAAAATGTCTGACTAATTATACCTTTAAAATGATAAGAAATAATGCTGTTAACATGTAGTTTTGTAAGAGGAACAATAAGGTACAAACTAAATCTGTGACTGAAGTCCTGAATGTGTTTTACCTCTATCTCCACACGAATGAGACCTTAGGTACTCAGGACTACTACTCCTAGCTTGCCATGAATCTGGCTTTTTGAATGGTGGCAACTACTGGCAACTAAGCAGTCATGTTGGGCTTAAAACATCACGTGCGTGCTCTCACCTCTTGTTTTTTGGCTTTGACTTGCACTCTGGTAACTCAGTTCAGAAGGTATCACTGGTCAGGTATGTCAGCCAATTAATCTCAATCTCTCTCTCTGTTCTTTCTTAACCCAAAAGATGAAAGCTTAAATTATATCATTTAAATTCCTTGTTATACTCTAGAATCATACATAACTTTTTCAAACAGCCAACATTCGGCATTAATCCATGCAGATCCTTTTGTGGGATGGAGTAAAAACACATGGAGGTGCTGACTCATACTTACTCATAGCAAAGCTGCCTTGACCCAGCTGGGGTGGAAATGGCCACCAAGTGGAGGAGCACCTGGACTCCCAAGTGCCTGCTCTGTCCAAGAAGTCTACATCTGGCTAGATGTCTAGACACTTTACCTCTTATAGGAATAAGTTTTGGGGTGCCACTGGCTAGTAGTCTTTAAGGTTTTAGCTCTCATTGCCCTGACTGATGAGAGTAAAATTAGGGATAACCTGTACAAATGGGTATGGAAGTTTAGATAATACATTGTGGCTATTAATCGTCCCTATTTTGAAAAAGACAGCTGGTGGGAAAGAACTTCAGAACATGGTTGGCTTAAATCCAAGCTCTGCCATTTATTAGAGAAAAGATGAGCCTGTACATCAGTTCCTCATTCAATAAAATTAATAATAATAATAGTACCTCCCTCCTGGGGTTGTTGTGAAGATTGAATGTGTTAACATATGTAAATAACTTTATGTAAAAACATAGTAAATACTCATTAGAAGGTAGCCATGTCATAGTCATTGTTATTACACTTTTTCTTACTTCTTACTTCCTCCTGCTTATCTACTTATTTTCCTTTTTTTTTTTTAAGATTTATTTATTTATACAAGCACTGGGTGCAATCAGAAGCACAGTAGGGTGAGAGAATTCACCAGAGCCAGAGCGGGAAGCAGAACAGGCAGAAGGACTGAAGTACACTGCTGAGGGGAGCAGTGGGCATGGCAGGAGAGATCTGCGCGCCATGTGGGACCCTCACCAGTGGCCGGGGATTGAACTGGCGCAGCAGAGGCTTCGGGCAGTTTTGCAGTCCAGCACTCAACCACTGCGCCACCGGGGAGGCCCTACTTATTTTTCAATGTAGTCTTTTTGTAAGCTGCCTCATGTCCTTTGAGAACATGATGGGTTTAGATATACATTCTTATGATATACCAAGACCAAAAAAGGGGGGAATAAATTGGGAAGAAAAGGAGAAATGGAAAAATAAAAGGAAATGTAAATGGAATTGTTCAAGTCAAATCTTTCACTCATTGTTTATTTAAGGTCTTCTGCTCTCTAGCTTTCTTATCTAAACTCTGGCCTTCTGATCACTTCTGGAAAGAAAGGAGTGTGGTTCTTTAAGTACTATAGACCTCTGCCTCCAGGTACATGGCTCCTATCTCTAGCTACAGAACCCTGTCTGCTGCCCCCAGGTGCATACATAATCATTCTCTCTAATTGATTGTGGACTCTTCCTTGCTCTTGTAAGTATTCTCAGTATAGCACTGGGCAGTCACCTCCAATTCCCCATCAGAGCTGGCCTGCATGATGGACCAAAGACACCATTGTTAGTTTTTATCTTGGTTGAAATGTCAGCCTCAGAAACCCATCCCCTCTTCTGGTCTTCCTTTATGACTTTATTGTATACTTTGTGGGAGGTGACTCATGATTCTGCTGGGACACCTGACTAAAGCAGAATATGGCTACAAACAGGCGGACTACAAACATCACATGTAAGTAGCCCCTAAGTACAATTAATTAAATGTTTAAATAACTTAAACATCTATGCTGCATTTCTTTCCACAAAGGATTTGAGAACTCTGGTTAATTATTACTAGTAAAGCTGGTACGGGAGTTTGGGTATGGCCACTCACCATTTATAAACCAAAACTCTAGAGATGAGAGTTGGTGGAAGGAAATAAGGTTGAATTGAGAACTAGCATCCTGAGGAATGGCAGTCCGTTGTTTCAAATTCTATCTCCTGAAATTGGGAAGAAGCTGGGATTTATATTGGGAGTGTCAAGGAAGAGGAGGGGTTAAACGGTCTGAGTCAATAGAACTACAGAGAAATAAGAAAGGTTTCCAGGAATTATTTTCATGCCCATTTCTCTTCCAAATTTAGTCTTGACCAATTCCATCAGGGCGCTGGCAGACATGTTTCTTTGTTTTTTGTTTTTTTTTTTAACATGTGGTTTAACCCTCATCTTACTTTTATCTCAGACTTTGTTTCAGTTGTCTGTTGCTTGTTTTCTTTTCTTTGTTTTGTTTTGTCTGCAAGAAAATAAACAGAACAAACTGAACAATGACGAGGTCACCAAGATGGTGACATTCCCTCACGTCTACATCCTTCTTTCT